CGGCCGACGATCCGGGCCGGACTTTGTCAACCCCACGTCTAGTTTGACGAAGCTGCAATCAGGGCACCTCGCAAAGCTGCTCTTGCAGCACAGCAGGCGCCTCCCCGCGGAGAAGAGTGCACCGATATTGGCGCACGACGACGTCGACCCTCCGACGGCGACCGTAGTCGACCTCACCGCAACCGTCGCGCAGAACAACGCAGGCGTGACCTGCAGCACTCGGGCGGACGTCGACGCACTCGTGATGATCCCCGTCTTCTTCAATCTGCTCTCTATAATGCGCGCTGGCCAGTATCTTCCTGCTTCCATCTACATCGCCCTCGACTATCTCGTCGCTGCCATCCTGGGCCCCGGGAGCCTCGTGCTTGCCCAGAGGTCCGTGGATCAGACAGAGTCGGCCTCTGCGCCGGGGTGCGCTGTGCTCCTGGATGGCGAGAGCATCGTGATCCTGGTAGGCACCCAGGGCGTCGTCCACGCCGTTACGGAGGGCGGCTTCTACCTTTCTTTTCACGCAGCCAGTGCAGCTGGAGGGATCCTCCCCGACCATCAGCGACGACAGGAGAAACGCGTGCTGTCGGACACTTTGTACGGGATGCTGGAAGGATGTTGCTCGGGCGTACTATGGGCTCTGCTCCTCCGCTCGCTGGCTGTGTATTTCCCACTTGCGGTGTGGCCCACTTTTACTGCAGCCTTCGTGGCGATATCGCTCCAAGCCATTCTCACAGGGGTCTCTGCGCTCGTGATCTCTGATCGATCGCTCCCGTGGCTCCCTGCGTGGCTCCGCTATGCGGAAGCAGACATTTACTTGAGAGTCGGCCGGTTTGTAGGAAAGCTACTCGGGCTATATACTCTGTTTCTCTTCCTTGTCGTCGCGCGAACGACGCTCACCGCTCTTCTCCTGCCCTCAGTGTCGTTCCTCGCACAGTCGCTCCATTTCGCCCTCTTCCCCAAGCTTGTCATGCAATCCCAACATTATCGCATCCGCACCCCAAAGTTTCTCGACGCGCTCGGACATCCCCTAATGAGAAAATGGCAGTTCGACACCCCGGCTGCGATGGCAACGTTCGCATGTCTCATTCTCTGCCACGGTGCATCTCGCCCCGTCAAGACCATCGATGTGCTCGGAATGCTGGAAACGCTGGTCATAGACGAGAGAGATGTTTGGAGAGCGTGGAAGATGCGAGTGGCCGACCGTATCACTCATGAGCAGACGGTTTGCTTTCAGCCTACGATACCTACCTTTAGTGATGAACGTCAGAAACACCTCAAGGAGCTCTTGGATCATGCACAGGCAGGACATGAGGCGTACCGCACGTTCTGCGGTCTGAGTGACGACGCGGTGGCCGGCCATGATATGTCTCCTCCTGATGACGAGGAATTATATTGCGCCAGCCGCGTACCGCTGCCCAGTACAGAGGTCGATGACCACCTTGAAATTTGGTGATGACGCTGGCGACTATATGGCTGCCGATAGCGTCGTTGAGCGATGCAGTTGTCCCCAGCTGCGAATCCGAAGCATTCATAACCATAATCTCGAAAGGGGTTCCCGACTCTCCCAGCAGAACAATGTGTGTACAAGGAGGATATTCTCCGTGGCCACTTTGCGCCACGATCCACCAGATGTGCGGGAGAGGAGAAAGCAAAGATAGTCCTTCCGGCCCTCGAGCTTCCCGACCTCTAGCTCCTCAACTGCGAGGTAATTCACGATGCCCACTGCCCATTCATATCTTTCTGGCTCGTCGAGGGTGGCTTGGATACGGACGGAAGTAAATGTATTTCCCTTGACATGGTTGGGCTTGACAGTGAATACGTGCTCGCTACCCACCCCGCCCACGTTCCTCAGGTCTCCTACGGCGACCATGAGTCGTAGCTGCAGTCCCCTGCGAGACAGGGTGAAGGAGGCGTCTCCGTGCGGCCGCGCCGCGCCTTCGGCGGGGAACCGCGAGAGGTCGATGTCAGGGTAGCACTGCGGGCCCCGGGCGATGGCGTTTGTGCGCCCGTGCGTCGACGGGGGGCCCGCCCACGCGAAGATGCCCCACTCGTCGCATCGCTGGACGATGACCTCCATGAGCCTGTAGAACGCCCAGTCGCCCTCGCCGTACGCGATGGAC